GGTTCCAAAACAGGGTGTCTGTTGCAGGTTCCAAGCGGGGTACCCACTACAGGTTCTTTTTTCTAGGTTTCGATGCCGGTTCCTTCACATGTAGGAACCGAAACCGAAATCGCATAGTGTCGGTTCCAAGAAAATGGAACCGGAACCTACCCGCACAGTGTTGGTTCCAAGTAGGCTCCGGTTCCGGTTCTACCCGCTACCCGTGCTCACCCCTACTCCTGGCACTTGTGCTTTCCAGTAATGGTAGATTTATTTGCAATCACGAAGCACTTCCTGAACAAAATTGAAAACCTCCCACCTAGTCTTTTTCTTTTCTTCCCCATTATAGACCATCTTTACCTAACGAAGAAACCTATATACGTCTGTTTGGTTCAGGGTCATATAAGATTACTGGGACAGGGTAACCTTGGTTTAATTTTCAAGATTCCCTTGTTTGGTTTGCAAGTAATAAAATATTACAGATATATTTTATTGTAAATAGTGTTTACTAATAAGTAATATAAAGGGTAATCAGATTACCTCCCAGGAGGTGTTATTAAAAGATTACCGAGGTAATCTGATTTTTATACATATTTTGCCTTTAATTAAATGTCATTTCGGACACAATTACTCTCAAATGTCAACCAAATAACCATTAGCCCAAACCCTTTACATTTGAGAATTTAGCTACAACAACTTAGCCACAAAAAAATTTAAAAGTTAACAAAATACCCCAACCACCCAAGACCACCGTTGGCCGCCGCCCATCACTGTCGGCCGCCGACAGAAGTCGTCCTAATGACACATGACCGGCAGGATCTGACCGGTCATGCGCCGGTAAGGTCGTTTCTATAACCATGAAATGGTTGTTGTTTCACGGCTAGATCTGTGGTTGTGAAATGGCAATAGAAACAGCCAAATTTGGCTGTTTCTAGCCATGGATCAAAGATCCATGGTCGAAAACGGCTTTATCGATGCACGATCAGCCAAATTCTACCGGTTGTGCGCCATTACGGCGACTGTTAGTGGTAGCGGTTGGCTGTCGGCAGTGGCTTGGGTGGGGTGGGTAGGGGTGATTTTGCTACAAATTAATGTTTTATATGACTATAGTGTTTTAGCAAAATTTCAAATGTAGGGTGTTAAGAGAAATTATTTAAAAAATAATAATAAAAATAATATTATATTAATATTTAAAAAGAAGGCAATTTAGTAATCTATATAACATACCTACCTATTTATCCTCTCAACCAAACATATTAATATAACATACTCACCAATTTATTCCAATCAACTAAGCACATTTTTCTAAACATTCACAGTAATTTTCAAGGTGATATATCTTTTTATTAATATAACATCTCCCATAATAAAACATTATATGAACCAAACGCACCCTATATGTTATAGGAGTTTATTAAATTTTCCGCAAGAAATAACAAACTCTTCAATCAAGTATTAAAAATAACAATTTTATCCTTTATAGACTTATAGTCATTGCCTGCTAACTAATACACTTTACACAAAATCCGTTATATTAAACAGTAAAGTCCTCACGAAACACTAACAATAGGGGTAAATTGTTATTTAAGGGGAAATTCTTATTTATTGAGATAAAGGGAAACAAAACTCATATTCTTGAGTTAAATATCTTTAATTTTGAATGGTAATATTAACACATCAAACAAAGATTTATAATTATATCCCAATAATGTAGTAGAGAATAATACTGAAGGCCCCTAAAAGATTATTGTTTTCTGTTTTCCACAAGAGAGAATCAGTCGACTCTTTTCCTACAAGTGATTTAAAGATTGGTGTCAACCAATGTTTTAAAAACCAACCCAGAGNGTATTTATTGGAGTTGTAAACGTAGATAAAGTTGAAGAGGATTCCATGAGTGTGAGTTCAACCTCTTAGATGTGTAACACAACCTCAAATAGCAAGAATAGCTCAAGCCCCTTAACAAATTAAGAACATAATACATAAAACATAACTAGGACTTAAAGGAGCCAATAGCCGAGGGGAGGTAGTCCTCCTCACACACAATAATTGGAACCAATAAGTTACTTAAATAAGCCAGTAACCGAGGGGAGGTAGTCCTCCTCAACAATTTTAATTAAATTACCCCTAGAATTTTCGAAAAGTAACAATCAACACCTAAAACCCTAATGTCGTCCAATGTTTGTTGAAGTACCGAAGGCAAGATGGTCAAATTTATGCAGCAGGATAGAGATTTATTTATTTTTATTTATTTATTTATTTATTTTTAAGTTTCAACACTTTATATAAGCTTGAAAAGAATTTATGGAACTTTTCTTATAAGTCGAATAATAGTTTATTTAAAAACTTAATGAGTATTTTTTAAAGACAACTTTAAATAATTTTTTTTTTTTTTTTAAATTTCAGAAGTGCTTATGGTTATAATTAAATTTTGTGTCAAATTTGTTTGACACAAACTCTAATAAGCTTTATTATCATAAATTCTAATAGAAAAAATTATACTAAACAGGTCCTAAAACTAACAACTCGCCATAGTGATTACAAAGCTCCAACCTAGCTTTAGAAATTTTCGTTTCAATTAAATAGAAAGAAAAACGAAGTCAAATTTATTCAAGCATTCCAGCTCGATGAATTTAATGTTCATTGCATGGAATTGTACAAAATAAAACCTAAATTGTAACTTTTGATTAACTGATTTGAGATCTTATAATTTTAACTAATGAATCTGTATTAAATTCCTTGGTATTACAAAAGAAATTTTATGGAAATTGTTGAGGACGTCCTGCTTGAGAAGATTTTCCATTGTAAGTTGAAACGTCAGTCAAATTTTGATTGTTCGATTAGCATATATTGGTACCAAAACTTCTCTCCCAACCTAAAGATAAGTGGGTGTAATTAAATGTAATTACATTGATATTTTTTAATGCTAATGAAAATTTGTTGATACTAATATAATAGATCACTAAATAATTGAACCATAACTTTATTCTTCCTAGCTAGAAAACATTTGAATGAACTTTTAGTATGGAAAATTTTATTGCCTTAAACCAAACACAATTATATATAAATCTCTTTGAATTTAAAATTAGGTAGAAATTTATTTTAAATTTTTGAAGAGTAATGTTACGTTATTAACACTGCCTACAAAGTAAAAATTCCAGCTATGGATCGCTACAAATCTGGCTGCTAAGATGACAGTATCATATTAATTATAGGATTATACTTTCTTATAATCAATATAATGTTAATACCATTGTTTTAAAAACCGGACCGGACTGGCCAGTCCAACCGGTTGGACAGGGAACCAGTCATATGTCCGGTTCGAGTCAACATTAAACCCGTTAATATGAATTAACCCGCTTTAACCCGGTCAAAACCCGGATAAAGTCAATGAACCCCTAACCTTACGCAATCGCACTATCGCAACCCATTCCACTGATTTCCTTTCTCTGTTTCTTAACTTCTTCTCTTTCTCAATTTCTCTACTAAAATTTCTCAGATTTCTCAGCTTCTCTTCGAAAATTTCTCTCTGAAATCCCACTCAAATCGCAATCAACTCCACTCAAATCGCAATCAAATTGTAACTAAGATGGCTGCGGCTTTGGCCGAAGAAGATCTAACGAGATCGATGAGCAAAACGATGAGCCGTCGCCCGACGATGCAGTCAAGGAGTTGGTGGAAGTGGATGGCGTCAGCGTGCATCCGGGAGGCGTGGAATTCACAAACAAATGTGTTTGCACAGAGCCAACGGCAGGATGATGAAGAGGAGCTGAGGTGGGCGACAATCAAACGACTGCTCACGTATGATCAGTTGAGAAAGGGGATGCTGAGGCAGGTTCTTGAGAACGGGAAAATTGTTCACGATGAGGTGGATGTGACGAGATTCGCCATGGAAAATGAGTGGTTTAGAGTTAGTAAAACAATAAGATGTGGTCAACAAAGTTTGCTTTGGGAGTCAACAATAAGATTGGTTTGAATTTTATGAAGCCGGCAAGCATTAGATATGGTCAAATTCATACCAATTTTTAATCCATTTTCTCTGTTAATGACGTCATACTCTTGTTTTCATGAACCAAAACAAGTAAAGCCAACAAGCTATCTTATTAAAACGGCAGCAACATCTATCACTTTGAAAATCATACAACATTAAGTATTATTACATTTTTAAAAAGTATATTTTAAAATTTTTGCTTGGAATCTTATATTTTAAACTTAGTATCTATTTAAATTAAATTACAAGTTTTAACTTATGATTTCTATTTTTTACTGAAATTTACGTAGATGATAGTGATGGTTATGATGATGGTGATGAATTTTGATGCTAGTGTGTAAAGCTCAATCAACATGGAAACGGATCAAAGAAAAAATACTTGCATCAAATGTTTTGTTATTTAATATGTAAATACAACATCATATTTTGATTTAGACTTTGAATTGTTGTTAAATACTTAAATTATGTTAAGATTATTGTTGAATTTAAACTTTGAATCATGTTAGACACTAATTAAGTTGTTATTGTCTTATTAAAAAATAGAAATCTGAAAAAAAAAAAAAAGTTTTTTTAAAAATATACTAATGTCATCATGATGTGTGATGACGTCACCGATCCAACCGGCGGTCTAACCGGTTGGACCGGTTGAATCGTGACCTGGCCAGCAGAGCGGGTTGCCCTTCGGTCCGATTTTTAAAACAATGGTTAATCCATGAGCGGTAACATTATTTGGAATTTCAACTTTGTATACGTAGTTTTACTCAATTCTAAACTAATTTAGTTTGTAAAAAAAGTTTTTATATAGAGTATTATTCTTGGTCACAAACCTCCTTTGAACTTTGTGAGTGAACCCTCTTAAGTTTCATAAAATTATTTAAAGCCTAGAAGCAACTCATCATTTTTCAAACTGAGGAGGGTCCTCTTATAATGGGCTAATTCTCAAAGGAGGTGAACATTATTTCTCTTCCTAGTGTATACATCAATTAGACTTCCCTCATCACCAGTCCATTGCTCAAGGGTGAATAACAGCCTCTAATAAACAACTGGATAGCTTTACATTATGTAACACGGTGTATGATAAATCTATCATTCAAAAGTGATGTTACATGCAATAAACATCTATACACTCAAGCATGAATGTATTTTACATACCTAAACCTCTGTGTTCCCTTTGCATACATCGCAAATTGTATAGCCAAGGCCTTCACAATAAGGACATTTTGTCCCCTCGTCTACCCATTCCAAAAACTGCATTGCAGAACTTGTTCATATAAGTAAAAGTTGGCTACTGCTAGAACAATAATCACAAACCAGACCATGTCGAACATTTGAATATTTCTTTTTACCTGTGGTTCAATGTTTGGCTCACCAGTTCCATCACATTCTGTATTACAAAAATTGTAAGTCAGTTGCTATTGATTTCTAGCATCGAATTGATTTGATTACATAAGCCATCTACCAGTCAGATTTTTCAGTACAACAGAAGATGCAGGTCCGGTAAAACAAGTCGGTGAATTCATGTTATATAGATATTTATTTTAAAATTTCATATTATTTGTTAGAATTTATGAGAAAAATCAATACACGTGACATAAATATATTGGCTTTTTGTACCTGGAAATTGGTGCCCCCGTTACATATTATTTTTCTTGATAGTCATACAATCTCAAACGATAAAACTTAAACAACTCATCATGCAAAAAGCAGAGGATATATTTATCAAGTGGCTGATGTGATCTATATATATTTTGATGATAATTGTTGAGGTCCAGCTGAAACCAAAATCTGAAACCCTAACTATTTTCTCTTGACAATTACAAATTTGGACCATACCTCCATTCTGTTGTTCAACTTTTTTAGATATTTCTAAGGTAACAGAGAGGCAATCTCAAATCTGACTAAATCATGTGTGTGCTATTAGATTTATCTAAATTCATTTTAGAAGTCATTTCGAAAATTAAATGGCTTTGCCCTTGACCTTGAAGCTCTTTACATTGACAATTCATGTTGTCAGCAAAAATTGAGATATAATGATTAGGTTCAAGAAAATTTTGTTAATATATAACGAATAAACATAATATCTAAACTGCTTCAAAAGGTAACACTAAGACTCTAATTGGTTCTGAACTTTTCAAACCATTAATCCTAGTAAAAGATTTCTGTTTATGCAAGATCCTGAAGCATAAGTGATATTATGATTCCTTTGTCTCAAATTAGTTTGTAAAAATTCAATTATTTATGATAAACATCAAGATATTTTTATTTCTACTGAGATTTAATTAAAAAAAAAATGTTATTCTTGAAAGTGGAGACTCAATCTGTGAAGTCACATAAGTACCTGTGCACATTAAGCGGCCCTCCCCACGACAAGTAAGGCACTTGGTTTTGGCATCCTTAGGTTTGCTTTCAGAAGCTTGTCGGTTCCTGCCAGTGAGTCGAGAAGGTTCTTCCCACCGATTCTCTCCAAGAAGGAAAACTCGATGCTGAGAAACTTCAACTTCCGTAACAGCTTTTTCATCCACAACTGTTTGTTGAAGTTCTGAGATTTCAGTCACAGAACCAACTGCAGCTCCATTCTCACCTCCCTAAAGAAACAAAAGAATTCAAAGAACTAACAAGTATATCCAGAAATTCCAAAATCATAGGACTTGCTTCTGGGTAATTTACATGTCTGTATAATCAGGTACCAACTAGATGAGCAATAATCAGGGGATTACGAAAAGAACCAAGGCATAACAGTGATTTGACCTCACCAGGCTCACCTTCTCTGGAAAACTCAGAGTGAATCCTTTCTCATATACATTCTTATTTGCGCCAGCATCTTCAATTTGCTGCCCCGCAAATAACCTTTCAAGGAGTTCTGCAGTCATTATTCCATCTTCAGGGGTACCTAGTGTTGCCTGACAACCAAGAAAATGTACTAATTAATCCATATAACATTAACTTACCAAAATATTGTGGAGTCTGCTACAAAAGATTGTTATTTTTGGTGATTTTGATAATTTGTATGTTTATGTTCCATGTAAAAAAAAAAAAAAAAAAAAAAAAGAGAAAAGCCTTACTTGCCAAGTCTTCACAGCACGTTCAGTTCCACTTGAGAAACTGGAAAACTCCATGTCCTCCTCACCTGAGTAAAATCCTAGTTTTAGCAATGCTTCCTGTCACAATCACATGCATTACGAAGCAAATCAAAACCTATGAGACATCCACATTAAGATTATTATCAAATTACTAGAGAAAGAGAACATAAAGAAATAGAAGAGAAGAATGGGAAAACTTATAACAAACTAAACTGTGAATTAGGTTTCCACGAAAAATAGTCAACATTGGGATGTCAAAATTTTAGCATACTTGAAACCTATGTAAAGTTGCACTCAATTCCAGATGTGGAAACTTTTTCAAGATCTTCTTACTAGGAAATTCTATTACAGAGAATCAAAGTGTTAAGAGTTTTAGATTGCAAAATTACAACAAAACCAGAAGATGAGTTTAGCATCAAAATTATTATTATTTTTTAAAAAAATAGTATCTAAGTTGTAACACATGTAATCAACACAATCTCCATAAAAGAAATGGTTCTTTAATCTTTTATGGTCTTCTTAGAGTTGTATTAAGAAAGTAAATATAAGTGCCCCGAATGTTATTCTCTTACACAATTGACACTGTACGTTCATATTGTCAGACAGTTTCACCTAATGCTTTGTTAAGGCTTCAAATTAAAACAGATAGGTTCCATAAGATGTATATAGGATATCTGTTCACGTGATTTTGGTATTTTATCCTGGTTCATATATTTTCTCTCTCCAAGAAGCCACATGGCAGTATTTGTTTCTTCATCCAAATTTTGAATACATTTGAATGATAATGTTTATAACCTAAGGTAGGAATACAAGTGTTAAGTCTATTTGATTTTTATAGAAAAAACATTTGAAACCAAATATATATATGTTAATAAAACAAACAAATTAGAATATCTAAATACTTACATTATATGCATAAAAACTTTTGATACAGAATAACGTAATTCAGCTCAAACTTGTACTAAAACAATGCCTAATGTTGAAAAATGTCTCAGACTTAAGGCATACGCAAACCAACAAAATTAATAAATAAATTTATGTCCTCATTGCTAATATTTCCTTACAAGATCAAGATTATACTTTAGAGCCCAAAGAATTGGTCAACCAGTGGGACGGTTCCACCATGCAGTAATTCATTTCCATCTTCACTCTATGTAAATAGTATAAACCAACTAACCTTGTCATATAATTAACTGCCAAAGAAAGAAACTGCTCCATACAGGTACCCTAAAACCCTGATGACTCACGATGTCCTTATAAACCTAGTCTTGTATATAACTCCACACAAATGACATACACAATACAAATTTTCAGTAATTAAACAAAATCAAACTCGCCTTTATAAAGAAGAATTGCATATTTCTGGGCACACCTGCATCACTTTAACGTCGTCTCCTTCGCTGCCGCTCCTTAATGTCCTCCATTTCTTCCCTTCTACTTCCAAAACCCTGATAACTTCTTTCTGTTCCTCTTCAATCACTTCCTTTTGTTCCTCTTCTTCAATCTTCTCCTCATCCACTACTGTCGCTTTCTCTGCAATCAAATTCTTCTCCTTCAACGCCTGCAGCAATTAAAATCATCCAACCAGTAACTCTCAGAAAACGACACCGATTTCCATAATAATAAAAACATTTATTTATTTTTCACTTTTTAATATAAAAATAATATCACCTGTAATAAACCGGCGATATTAGATATCGTATCCGAAACCGAAACTCCTTCATCGAAATTACGATTCTCTAGAGCTTTCACTTGAAGTTTAAGCTCGGAAATCTCGCGAAGCAGCGAGTCACGCTCGCGGATCCAGCGTTGCTCTTCCCTGAGCCAGCGTTGTTCTTCGCGTAGCCAGCGCTGTTCTTCGCGAATCCATCGGATTTCGTCGCGGTCAGAGTTTGGTGACGTGGCGCGGATTTGGAACTTGGAGGATGTGGAGAGTGAAATTAAAAGAGGAGTGTAGGTTTTACGGTGAAGATTAAAGGTGAGGGGAGGATTGAGAGAGAGAGGGAGTAGAGAAGACATGTGAAAGCGATGAGATTGGGAGGGAAATGAGAAGGGAGAATGAAGATGAAGATATTTGTGTGTTTTCTGTGGTTCGTTATTTGAACCACACGATTTCAGTTACAGGTGATGGGAATCTAATCTACGGGAAATATTTCTGAAGGATAAATTGTGATGTTTTCTGAATGGGCCAGTTAATGATAGTTTTGTAAGGACTAATGTAAGTACATATACCCCAATCTCTCCAAGTTCACTCATTATCAAACATGTGATCGATATAGACAGCGAAAATCCCAAATGCTACCTCATCTAATGACTAACGAGTACAAGAAAACTACTCTTGCATCCAAAAGCGAAGAACTTTAGGAATTATAACAGATTTATGGGCTCCTGGTTAGGGGTGAACGGTTTCGGGTATCCTATATTTTTCAGCGGAATTGAAACTGGAACCACACAGTGCAAGTTCCCAAAAAAAAAAAAACCAGAACCGGAACCGTACAGTGCAGGTTCTTAAATTTAAGGAACCAAAACCGGAAATGCAGGTTCCGGTTCCTTTCCCGGGTACTCTGTAAAAAATCAATTACCCCCCTATTAGTTTAAAAAATGACAAAAATACCTTAAAAGTTTACAAATACAACTCTAACAAATTTTGATTACTCATTTATTTGTGTCCAATGTGACTTATAAATCCTCTAATCTTTAAGCAACACTTGAATTCAATCGATTCATTACAATTCAGATAAAATTCCTCAGTCAAAACCAAAATACAAACAATTAATTAAATTAATTAAACAATCATACTATAAATATATAACTTAATATTATAATTAATTAAATTTTTAATCATTTTATTAAGTATTGTACTAATGTTTATAATGAAATATTATAATTAATTAAGTAATCATACTATAAATCTATAATGTAATGTTATAATTAATTAAATTTTTAATCATTTAATTAAGTAATGTAGTAATGTAGTAAATTACTAATGTTTATAATATAATGTTATAAATTTATAATTAATTAAGTAATTATTTAACTATGTAATGTTATAATTAATTAAGTGATTATAATATAATGTAATGTTATTATTAATTAAGTAATTATTTAGTTATAATGTAATGTTTTAATTAATTGAATTTCTAATCATTTAATTAAATATTGTACTAATGTTTATAATAGAATGTTATAATTAATTAAATACTCATACTATAAATTTATATTGTAATGCTATAATTAATTAAATTTCTAATCATTTAATTAGGTATTGTGCTAATGTAGTAAATTACTAATGTTTATAATATAATGTCATAATTAATTAAGTAATCATTTCATTATATAATGTTATAATTAATTATGTGATCATACTATAATGTAATATTATAATAAATTAAGTAATCATATTATAAATCTTTAAATAATATTATAATGAATTAAATTTCTAATCATTTAATTAAGTATTGTACTAATGTTTATAATAGAATGTTATAATTAATTAAGTAATCATTTGTTTATAACGTAATATTATAATTAATTAAGTAATCATATTATAAATTTATAATGTAATGTTATAATGAATTAAATTTCTAATCATTTAATTAAGTATTGTACTAATGTAGTAAATTACTAATGTTTATAATATAATATCATAATTAGTTAAGTAATCATTTTATTACGTAATATTATAATTAATTATGTGATCATACTATAATGTAATGTTATAATGAATTAAATAATCATACTATAAATCTTCAATGTAATATTATAATTAATTAAATTTTTAATCGTTTAATTAAGTATTATACTAATGTTTATAATGGAATGTTATAATTAATTAAGTAATCATTTGACTATAATATAATGTTATAACTGATTAAGTAATCATTTAACTAGTAATGTATTAATGTTTATCAATTTATTTTATATAATTAATTAATTACAGATATACTTAGAATTTGATAATTGAAGTAAATAACTAAATATTATATTATTATTCAATCAAATATACTATTTTATTATAAAATAATTCTTTTAATAATATTAAAATACTTTTAATTGGTTTTAATCTAATTATACACTTAATTAATCAAAACTTTAATATTAATATATTATAATATATTAAAGTTTTTTATATGGTGTAGTTTATAAGTAACAAGTATAATTGTATATTTATTTAATTAGGTTATTGTAAAAATTTAACTTTTTACATTTTAATTTTTTTATATGTAAAATTACAATAGACCCCCCATTCTTCACAGATATTTCATTTCAACCCAGGTTCCAAAACAGGGTGCCCGCTGCAGGTTCCAAGCCGGGTACCCACTACAAGTTCTTTTTTCTAGGTTTCGATGCTGGTTCCTTCACATGTAGGAACCGAAAATGAAATCGCATAGTGTCGGTTCCAAAAAAATGGAACCGGAACCTACCCGCACAGTGTTGGTTCCAGGTAGGCTCCGGTTCCAGTTCCAGTTCTGATTCCGGTTCTACCCCCTACCCGTGCTCACCCCTACTCTTAGCACTTGTGCTTTCCAGTAATGGTAGATTTATTTGCAATCACGAAGCACTTGCTTAACAAAATTGAAAACCTCCCACCTAGTCTTTTTCTTTTCTTCCCCATTATAGACCATCTTTACCTAACGAAGAAACCTATATGCGTCCGTTTGGTTCAGGGTCATATAAGATTACGGGGACGGGGTAACCTTCGTTTAATTTTCAAGATTCCCTTGTTTGGTTTGCAAGTAATAAAATATTACAGATATATTTTATTGTAAATAGTGTTTACTAGTAAGTAATATAGAGGGTAATCAGATTACCTCCCAGGAGGTGTTATTAAAAGATTATCGAGGTAATCTGATTTTTATACCTATTTTGCCTTTAATTAAATGTCATTTCGGACACAATTACCCTCAAATGTCAACCAAATAACCATTAGCCCAGACCTTATACATTTGAGAATTTAGCTAAAACACCTCAGCCACAAAAAAATTTAAAAGTTAACAAAATACCTCAGCCACCCAAGACCACCGCTGGCCGCCGCCCACCACTGTCGGCCGCCGACAGAAGTCGTCCTAATGACACATGACCGGCACGATCTGACCGGTCATGTGCCGGTAAGGTCGTTTCTATAACCATGAAATGGCCATTGTTTCACGGCTAGATCTGTAGTCGTGAAATGGCAATAGAAACAACTAGATTTGGCCGTTTCTGGCCATGGATCAAAGATCTATGGTCGAAAACGGCCTTACCGATGCACAATCAGCCAAATTCTGCCAGTTGTGCGCCATTACGGCGACTGTTAGTGGTAGCGGTTGGCTGTCGGCAGTGGCTTGGGGTGGGTGGGGGTGATTTTGCTACAATTAATGTTTTATATGACTATAGTGTTTTAGCAAAATTTCAAATATAGGGTGTTAAGAGAAATTATTTAAAAAATAATAATAATAATAATATTATATTAATATTTAAAAAGAAGGCAATTTAGGTATCTATATAACATACCCACCTATTTATCCTCTCAACCAAACATATTAATATAACATACTCACCAATTTATTCCAATCAACTAAGCACATTTTTCTAAACATTCACAGTAATTTTCAAGGTGATCTATCTTTCCATTAATATAACATCTCCCATAATAAAACATTATATGAACCAAACCAACCCTATATGTTATAGGAGTTTATTAAATTTTCCGCAAGAAATAACAAACTCTTCAATCAGGTATTAAAAATAACAATTTTATCCTTCATAGACTTATAGTCATTGCCTGCTAACTAATACACTTTACACAAAATCCGTTATATTAAACAGTAAAGTCCTCACGAAACACTAACAATAGGGGTAAATTGTTATTTAAGGGGAAATTCTTATTTATTGAGATAAAGGGAAACAAAACTCATATTCTTGAGTTAAATATCTTTAATTTTGAATGGTAATATTAACACATCAAACAAAGATTTATAATTATATCCCAATAATGTAGTAGAGAATAATACTGAAGGCCCCTAAAAGATTATTGTTTTCTGTTTTCCACAAGAGAGAATCAGTCGACTCTTTTCCTACAAGTGATTTAAAGATTGGTGTCAACCAATGTTTTAAAAACCAACCCAGAGCCAAACCCGACAAAGAAGTTGGGTCTCGGGTTAACCGGTTTGACCCTAAAAAAAATTTCAAAATTTTTTATCGGCACAACTTAGCATGGTGACTGTTTCCAGTGCACGTTAGCACGCATCGACGTCGACCTTTTTTCCCCTTTTTCCAACTATTTTCTCACCCAAAATCAACCTTGTCACCACCACTAGAACCCCCACCCTCTCCTCTTCAAAACCATACCCTTTATCTCCTCTCATCACTCGTCGATCTCCGACCATGGAAACCACATCAATCGGCTTTCCTTTGCCAGATTCTGGCAGTTTTGAGCGATAACAACTCCAACCACCACTACCTTTAGACTCACCAGCTACTCCCCTACAAAACCCCCAAAGTTCCCAAGCCATTCCACCCACCAATCGCCACCAATCAAAAGCTAGGGTTACGCCATTTGTTGGCCAAATTACAACGACTAAACCTTAATCAGGCACCACCTCCTGACTCACCATGATCCACCCTCCAAAACTCCCTAACCCCGGTTCATGTTTGTAGCCGAACGCAGGCCGAAAGTCGACATTTTCTACATTTTGGTTCACCTGGTTTTTTCAAAAAACCGGTTGGACCGGCAGGTTGCTACCAATGTTTTAAAACCCAACCTTGTCAAGGACTCGTATCTCGGGTTGACTGGTCTGACTAGCTGTAATGGCCGCTTTCTATTCAAATACTCATAAAACATGTACATAATAAAATACATATAAAATATCATAAAAAGTTTGAGCCCAAATTTTTCTTTTATTAAACATATACATTCTTTATACAAAAAGTTGTATCATGTACAAAAACATCAAAAACAAGGTGGACAGTGTAGCCATTTCCCTTCGCTCGCCGATGTCCATCCGACTGTATCCGACTGTGTCCTCACCTAGATCCTGCAAAAACATAGAAAACAACGGGGTGAGCACAACTAATGCTCAGTAAGTAAATCCTCTACTCATCTATCCCCGTAACTCTCTCTCTCTAATTCTTTCCTTACAATTCTCGTTTACTCTCTCTCTTATACTTCATCTATTTTCTCTTTCTCATAACTCTTT